CACTACACACCAACAGATGCCATGAAGAAGTAAACGTACACTAAGTCCATTGTTTCATCATGGCCGACTGCTTTTAACCATTCCTCCTAGACCAGGAGAAAATTAGTGGCACATTACCGTAAGTGCCGAATTCCATGTTGGGATGTTTATAATACGTATTTTCCATCACAAAGTTTTCAATGATGGTTCCATGACTTTGGACGTTATGGGAAGGCGAATGACAGAATGGTAGTTAGCTTGATCACTACTGCAACCCCTTTTGTATATAGGAGAAATTATTGCTTGTTTTCATATTAGTGCAGGCTCGGTATTGTTGAACGTACACTGGAATTGTTCAGCTCAGCTATGTTACTTTCTAGAGTGAAAAGGGTTCATGGATGGGTTTTATCTATCCCTGGAGATGAATCTTTTTCAAACCCAATTGTTTCGTTTTCAAGTTTTCTGGTGAAAAGTTTATTAGTGGGAAGTGGGGAGTCATCGTGCAACTAAGGGAATAGTAGCCCCACTTTTACAGGCACAGCGAACAATTTAGTTTATTGACTTTTTAGCAGTTCACTTACCTTTGCTGTGACCGAAATATCTCCTACCAAACGCAGCTCTGTAACTCCAGACTCGACTCCGTAGTCAGAAATCTAACTGCACGGAGAGGATGCGTAACATTCATCTAAAAGTGATTCTGAACTTAAATGTGAGGAAGTTATAAGGGCGAGAAAAGGCCTGGTAAGAAAGGGTGATCCACGATTCCGTGGTTCTTACAGAAAGGGAGTTGAATGGCTGCTCAGAGTAGGTTATTTGAATCACATGGCAAGAGTGAATTGGCGCATGCGACCGGGTCTCACGAGCAACAAAATCGCAAGAGGGACCAAATCGGCAAAGTCTCTGTTGACATTTTCTGTCTTCGTTGAAAAAACAAACACGAGATTGCAAAACGTATTGCTCCAGACATGTGCTCCGTGCCAAACAATTACTTTGTGGTATTCGTTGTACCTCGTGCACCACAGATCAGCTGTAAGATAGCAATTACTTAACAACTGAATGTCGGTAGTGCATTTTTAGAGCACCGGCAACATGCATTATCCGCAACACACACACATACACACAAACACTTTGCTATGTGATCAAGTAAGTTGTAGAGCAGTACCCCGAAAAACAAAAGAATGGGATTCGGCGGTTCATTCATTTTATGACCGATCATGTGAATATGCAATTTATGCGGGAAATTGTTGCAGAAGCATGAAAAACAAACGGTATTGTTGTAGCACAGCCTGGGGAGCCAACATTCAGTGCTGGCATCGTTGATCAATCATCGCATATTTTTACGAGCCTGGTCCGTAACTAATTCTTGGTATTTTAAACTCACTTGAGTAAAGCGAGTAGGTGCATAGTTTGAGGAATTTTCTTCGTAATGTCGTTAAAGGGAGTAATGAACAGCAATGCAACATAATTTGTAATTCTACTCAATCAATAAAAACGGTGAATATATCATGATTCGTTTCAAATGTAGGCACACAAATACATTGAAATATAAGCTGATGTGTTTGCAAATGTCGTGTACATATTGTAACGAGAAGGCGAGGTGGCTGGGAAAACGTTTATCGATCCAATTCAAAAACAACCGATGTAGGAGTTCAATTATATACAATCAATTGTTGACCGCGCAGCAGGATGATTCATGCCTCATTCTGCTGGTCAATCCCTGTTGGTTTTGGTCCACACTTGACACGTACGTTGCTTCTTCTTCCGCGTGCTGTTCCGACTGGTTTGACCCGATCGTAGCGTGATATACTTCGATCGACAACTCCGACTTTGTGATATTCGGTGGATATCTTTCTGGCTAGGTGCGGATTGTCCGTCGGGCTGTAATTGTCGATTCGTTTCGAATGGTAGTCGACGTTGTCTCGCGAAGTACTTCCAGCCGCTGCACCTGCGCATCTGGTTGGATGGGCCCTATTCATGATTCGTTCGCTAGACAGGGGCTCTCTTTGTATCACCTTCCATCACAATATGTAGAACAAAACTATATACACCATTTTTCTCTCTTGCCGCATGTTTCCTCACAAAACGGGTTTAATAGGACGCCTACAAGATTACCGATCGGAAACTGGAACCAACTGAACACTGATAATCCTTATTGCCAATACGAGCAACAGAACGGTACTGATTGTAGTAGTAGCGCGCAATGAACATGAATCACGGAATACGAATCACTGATTAGCAGTCAAGGAACGTCACGTAAGCACTGGACCACATTGGCACTTGCACGCAATATCCCACGTAACCCAAACACGAGGAAAAGGCCACAGGAGTACTAGTTCGTTTACTGAAAGAAACCAAGAGATTAAATAATATGCACAAAAAAGGCTCACTGGTCATCCAGGCCTCAATTGCGTTCTAGTACTTCTGCCGTTGTTCTACTTCTGTTTGGGCGGCACGGGTTCTCATTGGCTGGTAAGATCGACTTATGTCATGTAGTCCAGAGGCTTTGGCACGAACGCGCTGTGCTGCCGTCACTCGTGAAGTTTGAATGATCGCAGTTGTCCAAAAACTGTAACGCATCGCTCAAGCGTTTGCGTCATCTCGCAGATTGGGATCACCAAAGGAACGTCTTTCCAGTTACAGAAAATACAACAGAAGATACATATATCGGTATAAAATATCACAGATCCGGAGTCGGATGAGTAGGCACGGGGGCCAGCGCTTTGGATATACCTTAAGAATATCAAAAGATGAAATAAACAGAATGAAACTATGGTACGCACATGCATGTAGGTTATTAGAAGTTGTTGAATGCACAACTGGTGCTTTAGGTTTGGAGGTTCACCTCGCCAAATGACAAGAACCACAAAGAATCACACGATCAACCGTGTGTGATAAAAATGAACCAGTGCCTAGGATAAAATCAACGCACACACTTACATGAACGTACAATGGCAAAAGGACTTGTTAATCCATGGAATCATCACTTAACGATAAGTGACAAGAACCAGGTCATTGAAACAAAGGTAGTGCAGCGCATTAGGAAAAAAGAAGAAGCCTTTAGGACACTGTTCGGCTAACTCGCAGATGGAGCAATCAACAAACGAAACCTTCCAACTTTTTCCTCCTAAAAACAAACATGAATAAGAAGTTGATGTAGTGGATAATGTAGCACTCGATGGGCATCAATAGACAATACGATTTGCTGGTGTGGTCCATAGTGTTTGATAAAGCAATCCCAACCATATACAGATGATCAACACAGAAGCATTCGATGCGGAAACAGGTCACTGATACATATAAATGCGGTTTTTGTTGTACCCGGTATGAGTCAGTAAGTACGCAAGTAGTGAATTAAGTAGTAATTATATTTCCAGTATGTAAACGCAAACGTAGCCGGTGAGCAAGCAGTGCGTCAACACGCAGACAGGCAGGCACAGAACTGGCGCAAGTCTTACCAAAAGGAGTGTCATCACGCTGGGCAGTCAACGAACCAATCAATGAGGAGAGATCAATACTGACCTCTGATTCGTTGAGGTGGATCGACCTNCTTTTACACGGGGATATCAAAACCAGATTTCTAATGAAGAATACGGATAAGTGCAAAAGGGGGAAGTGGAATCTTAGATTAAGTGTCGCCTCTTCATCATGTAAGGAAATATTTTTTGTTTTCTGTTTTTTATGGTCAGCTAAGAAGAAACATGTTGGGAAATGCTACGAAGTAATGAGCATTGCGATTGCATTCGTGCTATTTTTGCAATAACGTGTCATCACTCATTGCTAGACATCGCGACCTTCAGAAAACTCAGATAGGAGGAGGTGCACTTCACAAAATTGTAGCCCGTGTTCCTAAGTAGGCTCGAATCCTACCTAGGATACTGATCTTTTTAAGTGAAACTTCAAACTGTCTGTATCACGTACAGAACCACGTGATAACTGATCCGGCGAAAAAAGATTAGTCTCAAGTACGCAACTTATAACGTCTTTACCAGCCCCAGAATAGGGAGAATGATCAGCTGGCGGCATATGACAATTATGGGTAATATGCGCGTAAATCACGTCGGTCTGTCACAAGAAACTGCTCCGGAGAATTTGGGGTTAAACGGTAGTGTCGTGAGGTACTGCTCACAAATGTGAGTAGTGCAGGTGGCGATATTCTTCAGCGATCAGAAATTAACAAGACCACTGAGAGCAAATTACTGTGTCTCAAAGAATAACTACGGACTGCTCCAGTCGAATATCGCGCACCTTGGCTGCTCTAGGATGGTGTATTTCCCGTTATTTCAATGTTCAAATATTAAGTCTACAACCTAACAATCGATGGGATAAGAATATGCGTCCAACACACAGTGAATGCACTTAATGTATTTTAATGCTTATATTACCTGTGAAGGCGTTCCGGACAGCGAGCTATTGTGAAAGCGAACCTGACTTACTGATGCATATTCACTTTGGACTTTATAAATTCATTAACGTAATTGGAGCCGTCCACTACCTAAGGGTGTCGTTGCTATCAGAACGACAGAAAGCGTATGTGGTCAGGGTACTTCCAGTCGTCCCGCTGAAACTTGGATTACCATACTTAGTAGCCCGAGGTACATGCTATCAGACAGGGGAACATTGCGTTGGATGAAATGACTGATTCAGCAAACCGGCGCAGCACTCATGCGCGTCACTTTTCACGTTGACAACTTTGATTTATTGATTGATTTGACTGACTATCCTTCGGACTTCACCTTCACGCATAATCCTCAGATCATCGATTCAACCATACAGTCGGAAGCACTAGACCCGAGTATCGCTCATCAGTAGTGCATATCCACCGTCCTGTCCCGGATTTGAACTCCGGACCCATCGTATGGAAGGCGTGTGCGTTACCACTGCGCCAACCAGCTCATGCCCTGGCTGAGCCCAATTGCCAATTCATGTTTGTTCAGGTATTGTCTTCAATGATAGTCAGTCACTTCATTTGATTTATTCATAGTCCATTTGATTTACTTTCTATGTCACATGACACAAGTTGCTCACACATGTCCTCCATCCGTCTCATTGATCAGTAGCCGAACGGACGCCTCCCACACACCATGTTCACTGGTCGTCCCATGCCAGCCACACCAAGCAACTTGCGCGCACTCGAATGGGCGACAAAGACCGACTGATCGTTCTTGATGGGGAACGGAGTTGACCGCACTCCCATACATGCACGCGCATGCTCGTACATGTGCGCGCCTGTGATCTACAAGTTGGTCCCGGTGTCGACCGTGGCCGATCGAGACATCACGCCAGCCCAAATTGACCAACCAAACCGATGCCTCTCTTTCACCCGCATCTCTCATGTGGCGACTGTCCGGCATGATCCAGCGAATTCGCCGACCGGTCAGCACTCGCCGTGTTTTAGAGTGAGGTCTGGGAGTTGCCAGGTTTTGACTTCTGTGGCGTTTGGGGTGTGACTCGTTCTAGCGGGCCGACCGACAAATTTATGAGACGCACGCTGAGTGATAATGGTGACGTAATTTGTTTTTATCGTTCCGGCCCGCACATAGGTGTCTACACCTTGTAAACTATTTCGTCTTTTCACTGTTGAGTGTGACCTACGAGGCAATGATTTTTTTTGTGATTCGCTATCGGTTATCCCATAGAAACATTTACAAACCGTCGTACTCTCGGATCAACACTCATTCTAGTCTGAGGTTGGATTAGGGAAAGGCCAATTCCCGTTTTAATGATGATCACGTTCCAAGACATTTTACCCGGAGACATTTAAATAACCTTTGTTTATTATAGCACACCTCAGTGTGATGTAGAGCAGATAAGGAAAGCCCCATAGTCACGAGGATCTGCTGTTCAGTGCTGTAAACTCGTAACCTAAGCCCCGGCCCCTCTAGGTTAGTTGTGGTATTGAGCAGGATGATAGCAAAGCCAACTGCCACCAAAGTTGGTTGGCTGGCTTCGAACTTCACACCATAGGGTCGAAGGTATGCCGATGCCTTCGACCCTATGGTGACAGCGACTAAACCACTGCGACACCACCACCCTTCTCTTGTCGTAGCGGGTAAACTAACACCAGAAACACAGCGATATGTACTGAACGTTTATGAAGGCGAATGAATGCTGCCCACGCAAATCACGTAGATTTTTGTGCGAGTTGCTCTGATGGACTAGAGTTCATACTTATTTTACCAATAGCGTATTTGAGCGGATGCTTATATCGGAACAAGATCAACACAAATTTGTTTTAACATCACATATGTTCGCAGTGCATTGATCACCGATGGTGTCTTCTGAAGTGAAATTGAAAAATAAATTGAAATAAAACCATATGCATACAGTTACAGCTGTTAGACAGGATGGACAAAGGATCAACACATAAAAAACTTCCCATTTCTTTGAGTACTGGGAGCCACCTTTAAAACTGAATACCTGAGTTGGTAGATCTCAGTGCTTTTAGTGGTAGCTGGACTATTTCTAATATCCTTGGAAGTGCCACTAAAAGCACGAGTTAGAATTTCAACGTATGAATCACCGTGTGAACTCCGCGGACTGGGGTATGTACCCTGAGGACTGGTGGCAATAGTGCTCAGTTCACTCAACAGGGCTTTAACAAACACTTCCATCGAGCATCTCCACGAGCACTTATTTAACAAATCACCCTCACCCCGCCAGTAGGTACCCGATCAAGAGGTGTTAAAAGCTTCGTAAGACAAACAGCTCACCTACCTGCGCACCACCAGTTATATAATTTATGTCCACTAGATCCAACTCAACATATATACACTTATTGTTTGGGGAGACTCCCCCGTTCACAATAAGAACTCTTCTGTTTCTCCAAACTATCTGGTTCTATTCGAAAAGCACATATATAAGTATACATGCAATTCAGGCAGTCTGATGTAATTTTTGCTTAGTGGTTTTTCGGAGAATGTTTAATTTGTGACAAATATGTGTCCTATGACACACTATCGGTTTCCTGACCAATTGCTTATTATAATGTTCTCTTGCCATATTATTGTAATGCACATGCGCTTGACGCTTTTTATGCTTTACGCACCAGAGGGCACACCTGCGCCCAACGCCTTGGATACCGTGGTCTTTCTGCATTGTTTTGGTGGCCATATTGACAATGGCACTTCCAAGTACATTGACTTACTCTTCGCCCTCCGTCCGTTTTCATTAACGCTCACCGAACGCCTCCGAGACTGCCTCCCCAAGATCAGACAGGAATCTGAACAGTTTCGCAACGAAAACTCGGAAAGTAGAATGAGCATGTGATTCGTCATTTCTCCCTGCCTAAACACGCTTACGGCACAACGAGTTATTCCACTCACTCACTCACTCACCCACTCTCGTTGTGTGACACATTTTTCTTGATGCCTTGCACCACTGGACTATACAGACATATTCTAATCCATCGAGCTGCCACATAGTTATGTTCAACACAGTCAATGTGACGGTTATCGGTGAAACACGTCATTTCTAACATCGTAGTTGAGTAGACAATTTGTCAGAACCAAGATCAGTACCGAAACACTCGCGTAATTCAATCACCGCATCATCTTCGTCTGAATACTCTCCGTCAATATGACCATTCATTATAAATTTTCTATGCAGACGTACATCATCTGTAATGCGAACGTACTCCGGGATGTTGCAGTGCAGCAGAGTGAACGGAGATGCGCGACAGGCTGTCTATCGGCTTGTATTTCCGCAGCTGGAGACGATACAAGGCTTTGCGAGCGACGAACGAGGGCAGGGAACGGCGGTAGGGATCCGGTGCACGGGTTGGCGAGGAAACACTGACAGACGGGTCTTCCGTAGGTTGAGGTTAAAGGTTAACCTGGAAGGCAAAGCAAACAAAACGTCATGAAACAAAAAGGTACAGTGGGATACAAGCACTTACGATAAAATATTACTGGCGCGGTTACCAAGCTTTACACATGATGTTCCAAGTTTGCAAGGAATCATGAACATCAGATGATGTCCGAGAAATTCCTGTTCTAGTGAACAAATGTATATCATATATAGTTTTCATTTTTGCTTCCGTTTATTGAATACACAATGATACAGTTTTCAGGAAGGGGGAAGCAGCCAAGCTAAGGGCTGTTACGATAAGGCTAGAACATTTTTGCACAAATATCCGATTTTTGTATTACATGATACGCGTTTCGCACATACCCTTGCGTTAACAGTTTTTCGCAAATATCCAAATTTGGAGCTATGAATTTCGATGTGCTAGTTCAATCAGTCTATTGAGCTCGAATATAGAATTGAACTTTGATTTGTCAGGATCGATTTCGCCCCATCAAGTTTGCGTCTCGTCGATGTAAAACGTTTTCGATTCAAACACTCCTGACCAAATGATAAAACAACTACTTGGTAACCTCATGCAACAACTATACAACAACTGAAAAACATAGTCCAAGTATACCAGTTATTTTCCATGACTTTGGTCTACCTCGTGGATAGCACCGAACACTCTTGCGTTTGTATGGAATTGTCTTGCCGAGTAACTCCCTAACTGGGACTCAAATCAGCACTGTGAACAGACCAAACGATGATCCTGGTGTTTTGATACAATAGCCACGTTTGATTTCTTTGAGTCACAGCTTGAATCCGTTTATGAGCCCAATAAATGGATAGTATGTTGCGTAAAGAGGGAAAAATGGTTAAAATTTGCGAGAAGTGTGAGTTCACTAATGGCATTCCGTGCTTATTAGTTGGCCGCAAAATATCCTCACTCTGTTCAGACGGGAACGATACAGTAGAAAAGAAAATTGATGGATTGTTGAAAAAAATTTCCTCTCGTCTGTAATAATTCACAATGTCACTTTTCTTTTACCGACGATACTCATCAGCTCTTACCCAAAATATCAGTTTCACTTTCCTTCTGTTATAAGAATATCTGATCGAGTATAATCTGGTGGTAAACCGGCTCTTTTGTCATCGGATCACCACCCCTCCTGTTCTATCAAGTCCTTATGTGGCTTGCCACCCTAAGTCTCCGAATCNCCGAATCATGGTTGCTGGTTTTCATCTCATAATATGAAGCATGACAGTACACAACCTCCTCTCTTCCTGCTCACTCGCAGAATAATCACAAAGAACTTCGCGGGCATTTTGGTTCTTCCGTTAAACATTTTGTTATGCTGGTGTTGGTGAGTTCTCCGAGCTAGAAGCACGGTTCGCGGACGTTTCGTAGCCAAGCTAGGCAACATCATCAGTGCGACTTCTAAGAAGCGCTAGTCCTCAGTGGGACAAGGCTTATATAATTCTGTTTGAGGGTTGCGATTGGCTGTTTGCGTCCCTTTTATCCTATTGATCCATAGCAATCGTTTGCTGTGACTTGATTGGCTGTTCCTTAGTCATGGTTGTCATGGGGCAGCCAATCAAGTCACAGCAAACGATTGCTATGGATCAATAGGATAAAAG